CAAGACATGTTCGTGCTTTACTTAGAGTTCCTAATCCTTTGCAGTTTGCAGTCCACACAACTGACCACAAAAGCTTTTGCAGCCCACAAAAAGATCTGTCCAGCCTGATTGTTCAAATGGAAGCAAATATAATACAACTGTGGCCGAATTTTACTTGTCTGTATAATCATGCAACATAATAGACAAATAAATAGGCAACAAAAACAGTAAAAAAAAAGAAAAATCAGATTAAAGTCATTTATCCATAATGGGTAAATTCTATAATGGTCAAAAATAGAAATGTTTTGCATTGACTTGCACTCAAAAGTAAACATATCTAGATAGCTATGTCAGTTACGTGGGTCATGCATTTTGCCAGACCTATCACTGAGCTGTCATTGGTAAAGCAGTGGTATGCTTGCCTGAATGAGGAATTGATCCTCCAAATTTTTTATGTGTGGGACAGTTGTGTTATCCATTTCAGTGAATTGAACACAACAGAAATGCCAAGCACTAGTAACTATTTGCATCCCTCAAACCAAAGGGTACAAAATTATTGGTTGTAATTTTCAGCTATAATTCCAGTATCAGACTCATAAAAAATTAGTTCCCTTTTTACCTGCTGATATCTACCACTGATATATCGTACACCCCTATGCTATACCGTTCCACTATGTGTAGGTGGGTGATGCTTAATTTGTAGCTGAAGAGGAGAGATGTGGAGAGAGTGAGGAGAAGAAAGTCGGGGAAGTCGAGCAAGTCTCCTCTTGTCTGGGACTGTGCTTTTGGGTTTGTGTTATCCTATAATGAGTGGCTTCCTCTTATCTCAAATGAGCTCTCAGAAGTAGATAAGGCCGGTCAGTCAGCCAGAGCTGCTGGGCCGCCTTCAAGAGCACAACACTGACCTCTGATCACTTTTAAATGAAAGGTGCTGTGCACACCACGAGCAGCCTATAGTGTTTTACATCAAAAGGGAGAGGGAAAGCGCTTCTGACTGTCAACGAAATACCTCTCTGTGAATAGATTTTGAGATGATGTTGACAGAAATTTGCCTTTGAGCATTTTCTCTCCTAGTTCAAGAAGGACTGCTGACTATGTGTACAGTTAGCAACGAATCACCAAAAGGTCTACTCAGGAATCACTGTGATGTTTAATCTACTTTTAATGCTTTAGCAACAGAGACTTGAACAAAATCCAACAATGTTTTCAATAATAGCACGTCCTGTGTAGAATGTACAAGATGTAGTTTTACCAGGATTTCTGTTTTTGCAATTCTGGAGTGGTTTAGGTTTAAGAGACTTAAAATCAGTGAAAATCAATATGGTTGTGTGAGTTGTATGAAAACAACAGAAATAACATTCTGTGTCAGTAATAAAATCATATTAAATTAGACATGTAACAATTGTCCTTTTTTCAGGTTTTATATGATTTTCTAAGCTGTGCTCAAGATTTCATTACTTTTTCAATATTTAAAAATGTCAATGTCTTGATTGTACACAGCTATATCTATATACTACACAGATTTGTTTTGCTCAGGTTTAAATTTTATTACCCTTTTTTTGATTTTTCAGTACTCTGTTGAAATTGTTCCACACATGCATAAATACATATAGGGCTGGTAACTTGAGTGTTGGGAAGTCCTCACCGTTGCTACATCCAAAATAACAGACTGTTAAACTCTAAACAAGGATTTCAGTTGAGCTTGTCATACATCACATCTCTATTTGTTAGTCTTTTTTTTTCTTTTTAAATGCTCGAGCCAATCGACCCACTATACTCAGGAGCCAAAGACTTCATCCAAGTCCTCTTGGATGAGGTTGTAGCTCTTTGAGAAACAATGCTTTGAAAGCAGCAATCCCGATGCTGCCTGGATCCAAGGCCCTAACTCCGTGCTTTTTATTTGATTGTAACCTTTCATTACAGTGGTAGGCTTGGAGGAAATGGTGTGTGGAGACTGAAAGAATTTGACCTTCAACAGCAGTTGTGTGGCGAGCAGGCAGCATGGTCCATAGTGTTGTTGAAACAAACGCCAAGACGAGACTTGGAGCTGGATAAACATCACAGACCATGATGACATCCATCAGTAATCTTGGTGACCTCTGAAGTGTGAACTCTATGAAATGCCACAGGCACTTTTGTAGGATGGACCCGTGTCAATTGAAGTGTGTTTTCATTGGAATGAAGCAGTTCCACTGTTTACACCGTCTGTGTGCATGACTGCACTCTGTGCAAATACATTGTACTGCGTATTGTATGCATTTGCCGACTGATAGAGTAGGATATTGAATTTGTATTTGTCTAGTCTGTAAAAGAATACAATATTGGCAAACAAGTGTATACTCCTTCGCAAATTACATTATAGCAGATAGTTCACGGTTTGCGGTCTAGAATCCATGAAGTAAGTCATAATCAGTGCCTCCCCTCAGCAGCTGCTGCTTAACACAGAGCCTATATCAGAGGTAAGTGCTGCTTCTGCATCAGGGGAAAATACATTAATAAAATCAACACTTCTGCTCATTGGTGTTTTGTAAAACCCTCAACATAAGCGCTTGCCCCACCAGTCACACCAGCCTCTGTGCACTCTCCAAATCAACAACATCTGGCCATGCTTGAGGCTAAATTTTTTGCTGTTCTGGATAATTAAAAACATACTGCAGCGCCTGTGCAATCCGGAAGCCCTTTCTTAAGAACGGGGCTGATGTGTTGCAGTTGAAAGCGAGGAAGGTAGCAGCTTAGCAGGGTCACATCAGGCTTTGTCCTTGAGATAAGGCTGGTGAAGGATCTTTGGTAATTAACAGGGGCTCAATGCTAGCTGACCTCCTCTTTCTGTGGTCTAGAGAGGAATTGAACCCCTAACAGTCCAGTCCTGGTTTCAGAGGGAGATAAGAGGGGATAGGAGAGTGTTCCCTGAGCTGTGTTTGAGTGCTAAAGTCTCTGCTTTTGTTTCAGAACTGGAGACAGGGAGGGCTTAGATGAAATCCTCTTGCCTTGATGGGATGCTGAGGCCATGGGAGCCATTCACAAGGAGAACCAAAGAGTATCACTTCCCTCGCTCAAGGCATATAAAAATGCAATGATGCAGTGATTTTTGGATTGTTAGAATCAATTACTGTTAATTATAAATTCATATTCCACAAAACTTTTCATGCTTTTTTCAAATGTTTGTTGTATTAGTTTATTATGTATGTTTCGCTAGTGTGTATATTGTTCCTCCAGTCACTGTTTCGTTAGGCTGGGCAATATGACAATATTTATTGTTATCATGGCAAATTACCCCACAGTATGTCATAGGATGCTTTTCTGAGCATATCGTCAGTGTTGTCTACTTAAAAAAGGCTTCCCAACTGCATGTTTGATTAAAAAGAGAACATAACTAATCCTGTTTAATTGGTTTTAGAATAGCATAGTATGTTAAAATATGAATACTAATAATTGTATTCATAGTTTTTGATAGTATTTTTTAAATGTTTAACTACTTTGTCTATTCCAATTTACAAGATGTTCAAAAACATAAATATTCAAAAACTTACAAAAACTTCTTGAAGTATCGTGATATTACATTTTTCGCAACATATTGCCCACCTGTACTGTTTTGTATCCAGTATATTTTTAAAAGTAATTCTAAATCATACCAAAATAATTGAATCATTGAATTAAATCGTACTGAAATTTGAAAGTTCAGCTGCATTCCAAAAGCTAGGTGGGCTCAAAGGCTGTTCCAGTCAGGAGGATCCTTTGAATACAGCTGAGGGTCATCCTCAGTGTATTACGAGTTTAAATAAAGGTTGCGCACAACTCCTTTCCAGTGACATGGCAAAGCAGCCTTGGAATATATTCATTTTTATAATATAAACAAAAAGCCTTCATAGGACAGTGCTACTAAGGACCCACTTTTCTTGGCTGCAGCATAGCTTTTGGAATGTAGCTTTCATGACACAATGAATTATTTTCTAAAAAATCATAATTGTATCCAGTTATTTTGAGGCTAGAAATTTACACCTCTGCCTCTCTTTTACTGTCAGTTTCACTTCTTCTTCTCTCTTTCAGTGAGTATAACAGTGATTATCCCCTTTTCTGGTTTTCACTTTTTCCTTTCCATAACTTATGAGATTTCCTGTGTCCCCTACATATATGAATGATTTTTTTCAGTAATATGCATATTTTCAGATTAGATTTAGCTCAATCAGTATGTCCTGATGACTTCATAGAACTGATGCACATAATGATAGAGTCTTTTGAACAGGTCTAAATCCCTGTGTCACCACTGACACTGTTCATATATTGCGCCACACACTCTCATACAGACTCAGACACTCCCAGACACAATCAGGAATCAAAGGCTTTATAGATTCACTATAATGTATACCTATGCAGCTCTAATGGCTCCCAGAGGATTAATCACTCAGGCCAGTGAAAACCTCTTCTCAAGCTAAACCACATAGCCTAAACCACACACAGACCAGCTTTCATGCTAGCAAGCAGCACTGTCATTTCTACTCATTCATTTCACTGCTAACCTACATTCCGGGATTGGTGTTGAGTTCAGTGTTGTATGGTAGTGTTTGAATAAAAGACTTAACATGAGGGAACAAGACAGTTAAGGGGCACTTAGCCACATAGCATTTGTCATTTGTAATTTGGAAATCAAGCATGAAACAAAGATATGGCTTTTACTGTGGAAGTTCCTCTCACTTTCCGCCTCGGGACAGCTGTTGTCAAGGGAATGGAGCATGTTCTCGACCAGCGAGTTTGTGAAGTGTTCCAATTTTCCTAAGGTGAAAGTACCCGCAGAGTGGATTATCTAGAAAATACGCGCATAATGGTGGCTAGAAATCCCTGCAGTGTTTTTCACACAGTACTTCTTCAGACTTTTTTCTAAAATATTATTCTTATATGTACTGCAGTGATTCTATTACGTTTGCAGGACAGAAACTTCTATTTTTGGCATGTTCAATGGAAACATATGTAAGGTGATCATGTTCTTATATCCCTTTTTTTGTCTTTCTTCTGTTTTGGTGCAGCAAAAAAGACATGTGCCACGACAGACTTTGCCTGTAAGAATGGACAGTGTGTGCCAGCTCGCTGGAGGTGCGATGGTGAGCCTGAGTGTGCAGATGGGTCCGACGAAGCTGACTCTACCTGCAGTAAGTAATGTTTATGTCGGGGTATGTGTGTGGAACTACTGTATGCCTGGTATAAATATAGCTGTTCTAACTCAACTGTAATCAGATATTTTATTTGCAGGTTAAATGCTGCACAGTAATAAACATATTTAAGAAGGATTTCACTTTGCGCACATTATTATTAGATTGTGGGCTAAAACTTTTTTTCTTGTTTTTTTTCCCCCTTGCAGTTTTGCAGTATTTGGCCGTGCTGAATTTTCAGCAGTTACGTTGTGCATTGAATTGCACTAGAGATTTTATGCTTTACCATATTGCTCACTCCTAACTATTGATACACCAGAGTGAAAATTCGTGGCTGAAGTTAAAACAAAAATTCAGGACGCACTGGGCCAAGAACCGAAAACCATAAAAGCTGACGGTAAATATTAGTTTGCATTAAATAAACTTACTGAAATGATTACAGTAAGTAAGCTACAGTATGTGCCACCAAATGATTTTTAGTTCTAGTTTGCACTTTGGCGCTATTGTTTTTTCGTCATTTCAAAAACTGTGGCAACAGATGGCATTGACATGCTTGCAGAGCCTTTCCTTTTTGTTTCTGTTGTTCTGCTTTATTCTGGGAGCGGGATGTCGTGTTTCTGTGGTGTCAGACCTGTAAGGGAGAGGTCCTTGGGCATTGTACCCTCTCTTGATACTTGACATGAACAGCAATTACAAATGTGTAATGTTTCTTGTAGAAACTGTGAAATAGTTCCATGTGGCCAACTCCTGCTGGTCAAACTGTTTTAATGTGTCTGTGATAACCATCAAAGGGAACAATGTTTTTAATCACTATTTACCTTTTTTATCTCCATTAAAATTATTTATGAAATCATAGATTTTGACAGTTCGTTGTAGGCCTGTTTAATTTTTTCAGTCAAAATTATCTTCGTATTTTGACCATTTTCAGCAAAACAATTTCAGTGTCCCCACTCCTAATATGGAGCAGTGAAAGCTGTATGTTCTCTTAAAGATTCAGTAGGCAAACAGTAAAACATCATTTTCTCAAAATCCTAATTATGGCATGCAGGAACTTCTCATCTCCTACATCTACTATATTTAGCAACAGAGCATTCTGAGTATAACTGCAATGATCATCCATTCTTCTGTACAGAAGACAGTCCAATAGAACTATACTGGCATAAGCACAGTCTTTGTTTAGTTAAGGCAGAACTAACAGAGCATGGCCTGCAGAGCTTCTTTGCCACTCTGAATCATGGCTATTCTCATCACTGGACAGCACTTTTCTTTATGGTCCATGGCTCACAGAGTGTCTGCTTATTGTGATACATTTGTCTTGTCTGCTTATAATTGGCATCAGTAAGTCTCTTTCCCTTCCAAAAATGGAGCGTGCTCACTCATGTTTGAAGAGAGGAAATAATTGTCTAATCACGTTCCAGTTTCCAGTGCCAGCTGTATGTTTCTGAATCAAATCTTCACACTTTTGTTGCGTTCTTCAGGCCCTGATTTGGCAGATGCTTGATTAACAAGCCAGGAGGACTTACAAATTTTCTTCTCAAACTTCTGTAGAACCATAGGATCCTGCTTCAGAAGCTGGAAGATCTTATTCACCAAAGATGTTTAGCCGTTAGCCATACTCGTCTCTTGTGGAGGGATCCAGAGTGTGGAAGATAATTTCTTCACTGCTGCTTCAGTACATGGATACATTCAGGGATGTGGGAAGGTGTTTTAAGTTGGGGCTGCTGAAATTCTAAAGAGCATATTCATAATGTGAACAGTGGCATCATGCGAAATAATTTGCCATTTTTTAAATTCAAACTTTTTTGGTAATTTACATCACACAGAGCATGTCGTGACAAGCTATAATGTGGCGCGAAACAAAAACATGCCCACATAACTGACACATCAAAACCACTGATGCACATTTCTTTGCTCTCTCTCCTTCTGGGCAAGTTGAGCTACGTCTAATCACATCAATACGTCTGTATCCAAAGTGCGGAACATCATTACAGTTACGTTTAAAAAACAATATTATGCACTTTTTGTCTTTGCACCTCAGCCTGTTTTAGTGACACGCTCCCAAAGCAGCCATCAGGGGGCAAGGGAGCCAAATCGGCTCTCTTTAATGAAAATGCGTTGACGTTAACAGTGCACTACCGGCTACTGCAGGTTTTTAAAATATGTAAATATATATAAAAATACAAACTCTGGAACTCCAGATACAAGTCTTTACTATGTTCAAATTAGTTTCACATTCAGATCTTTTTTTTTAATTATTTTTAGTTGTTGCAGTAAACTAACCCTTTAATATGGTGGTCCTGGTGCACCCTCAGCACCCCCACTTTCCATGTCCCTAGATATATTATAGTTCTGTTTCTAAAAAAAAATAGAGCACATTTATTAGGTTGGATTAATAGAGTTGACATTCACATTCTCAAGGGCACGATGGTTCAGTTGCACATAGGCTCCGCCTGCGCTACGGCTTCATGATGGTGACCTCTGCAGCCAGAAAGCCTATTTGTCATTTGTTTGTTTTGGTTGTCTGTCCCCCTGAAACCATTCACCCAGTGTTCTGAGTGCTGATCAAATGCATGGTGGCAGAATGAACACAAACATCCAGAAGTCCAAGGTCACTACTCTCAAATGTGTATGTGTGTGCAGACTGGGTGAACATGTTCCTCAATCTCCGTGCTCCCCGTGTTAGATTGCTTTTGAAAATTGCCCTTACCTTTGTTCAGGCATGGCTTGCTTTACAACCAGCAGATACTATAGCCTAGTCCCAGTCCTAAGGGTCCTTTCACATAAGTTATTGTACCTCACACAAGCCTTGTTAGTAATTTTCACAAAATCCACTCCAAACGTTTCTCACTCTGTGGTAATAGAGAATTGACTGACTGCTGTGGCAGTACAGCAGACTATCATGCTGTGCTCAGCCCGGTAATAACAGGTGAATAATGGTGAAAAATGACTGCAGCTTAGTGGCTATGCTGCGTGCCTTCAATGTCTTGATCAATGGGGATGGCAGCAGAGTCATTATGGTTGCATTAAAAAGTAATAAACAGTGGCGTATGTACATGACTTGGGCGCTTACGCAAAACCACAACTCTGCGTGGGTCATATGGCAGCATGATTATGAATAATGAAATGGGAGACCTGCCTCAATTGTGCAGTAATTTATCAACATGATGGAAATAATGCATGGCAACACTTTTGTCTTTGACCTTACATGGGCATATTTTCTATATGTATATCTGACAGGTAGGGTGTACTACACAAGGTGCTGTACAGGGTTTTTAGTTAAAATATGTAATTTGAATTCAAGGTCATTAAAAGGCCTGTACCATGAAAAAACTGAACTGAATATTTGCTTTGCTTTTGTGAATACAAAAGTTAGATGTGGTATGTAAACACTGTGAAAGTTTCAAAACTTACCATTTATTGCTCACTCTGTACAGTCCATATACCCAAACTAAGCTGCAAAAACCAGCTTAAATGAATTGGTTTTTGTGATGTCATGAAAACCAATTTGTTTATATATATACACCAATTCAGCCTGCAACAGATTAGCCACGTCCGTTAATGTTGAAGTTATAAGGAATGTTTCAGTCCAGACTGCTTTTTTAATTAAACTGTTTTATTCAGTGGGATGAATAGAGGTTGAAAAATCATCACATAACAATGTTTCTTGATTGATTTTTGGTATAAATGTCATAAATGGACCTTATGTAAAAAATAAATTACAAGGAAATTTGGGATATGGGCTCTTTAAATGTCTGTGTGGCTGTCTGAAAGCTTTTTTGTATTTAACCTTTAGAAGTCAAGAGTCATTGTTGATTATGTAAATGTTGTTCATTACATAATGAGCAACATTTACATTCTCTGATGTTCTGTATTGAAATCTTTGAGTCTGCACTTCTGCCTTTTTTTTTGCATGCATTTCAATGTCAGGAAATGACAAACACATTTTTCTTTTCATAAAGCAAGACTAAATGCAGCATAATGACTTTCCATCAAATTCAAATACTCTTCTACCCGCAGACGCAAATGTATCATCAATCAAAAGTTTGCAGTCTGCGCTAATGATGTTATAAAGCATTTAAATAAAGAGTGAGCAATAACAAACTATTTGCACCTCAAAATATTTGCAAAAAATGCAACTCACGCAGGGTTTAACATGGGTTGCCTAACTCTGGTTAATGAAGGCCATAGAGCTACATGTTAGTGATGTTCACACATCAGATTCAATGTTGTAGGTAATTAACAAGACTTTCTTAAAAATAAATTCAGTATTCAAGCACGTAAAGAACTCCATTGCTGTGACCTTTCAGAATTGAAGTATGGGAGTCATAATCAACTTATTACTTTCTTTGTAACTAATGTGATTTTAAACACAAAGCTGAACCATCTCCTGCATGCTCACACTCTTAAAGTGAATTGGCCCATGCTTGTACATGCAGAAAGCACACACTAAAGCCATTGGCATTCTACCTTCTCACAAGATCCCTTCTTCTATCTTGTTATCTCCAATCAAGGTCAGGTGAATGGTACAGGCTCTGCAAAGTTTCTCTCAAAGACTAATCATGTGCTTCTCTCAGTGATACGTCAGTTCTTGTCCTGTTCAGATCCTTTTTCATTTTTCTCCCTTTTCTGCTTTGATTACTTTGCAATTAACACTCCTCCCTTCCCTCTCCACGACCCTCTGAAACGTATCCATCTCCATCTCTGATCCCCAGTCAGTTAAATAATGCATCTGATTGAATTGATTTTCTTCGTAAGGAATCAATGGCTTTGCCCAAGAGACTCCTTCAATCAGATTAAAGCAAAGACAGCAGACGCTGCATGAGGACCTCTAGTAATTACTAAATTTCAGAGTGAAATGCTTTTAGAGAATTTTGAAGAAAAAAAAAGCAGATACTTGTGTAAGTTTGCCTTGTTAGTGTTACCACAGCATGAAAACTTGTACATACACTTGGTGGTTCAAAGAAGACATTGCTGACCTTGAAAAGCCAAATATTTATCTT